TTAACCATTTTATTTTGTTTTGTTTTTTGTTTTTTCCAGTAGCAGGAATCAAACTCAGGACCTTGCACTTGCCAGGCAGGCACTTGTGCCACTGACCTATATCCCTGGCCCTATTTTAACCATTTTAAAATACAGTCACATGTACTAATAGGTTAAATGCATCCATAGTTTGTGCACCCATCACCATTATCCATTTCTAGGACTTTTTAATCATCTCAACTGTGATTCTATTCCCATTAGACAATAATTCCCCATTTTAATTTCCGCCCAGCCAATAGTACCACTACTATGTACTCAACTTTCTATCTCTATGAAATGGTCTATTCAAATACCTCATTTTGGGTCTGGCTTATTCATTTAGCATAATATCTTCAGGGCTTATTGATGTAGCATGTGTTAAAATGTCCTTCTTGAAAAAAAAAGAGACAGACAAAGAAGTAATTATAGTCCACCATGGCCAATGTATCTAAAAGTGTGCCTTGATTTAGTATCATTGGTTTATGTGTTTTATATATTTTTGCTCTGTTAGTCTGGATGTTAATCTATGTTTATAATAATTAACTTGATAAAGACATAAAATAAATAAGTCTGATGCTGATGAAAAAGTCCTTTTTAAAGACTGAATAATATTCCATTATACACACACACATCCATCAAAGGACATTTGTGTTGTTTCCACCTTTGGTTATTGTGACTGATGCTGCTATGAATCTGGTGTACAAGTATCTGTTCATGTGCATACTTTAAATTCTTCAGCATGTTGTATTTTAAACACTTTTAAGTGAGCTATCCTTTGTTTAATAAAGTGAACCATGGTGCAGTATTTTTTTCATCTCTAATTTTTGACACCAGCATTTCTTCTATGAAGAAAGGAATGTGTTTTTATGATAACATCAAGCTTCTTGTTTGCTGGCTTTTTTGGTGGTGGTGGTGGTGGTTTTGTTTTGTTTCATTTTTATAAGAACAGTAAAAACTTTTAGGAGTCAACTGTTGATAGCAACCATCAAGACAAATGCCAAGATAGGACTTTTGACTATAATACGCAGAAAAATAAAATCTATCTTGACTCTTTGTTGGTTTTGGAAAGTTGAAAATTTTTCTTGATGGTTCACAAATCTCATGCTATAGCAGGGCATTTATTTATGGATTCTGTTGACTCAATAGCCTGACTAAAGAAACTCTTGTTTTATAAGTTTAGTAACAAAACAAAACAAAGAAACCTCTTCAGCAACATGTAACATGTCATCAATGTTAAGTAAGTTTTTATTCTAAGAACAGAAAATTTTCACTCTTTGTACTGCATTTTACACTGGAATTTCACTTGTTCAAATTTTATATACTGGGGCCAGAGATATAGCTCAGAGCACAAGTGCCTGCCTGGCAAGCACAAGGTCCTGAGTTCGATTCTGGTACCAAAAAAAAAAAATGTATATACTGGCTAATTATTTGGTTCTCACCAACTGCTAGAATTTGGATCTTGAAGTCCCCAAAGACCCATGTGTTGAAGGCCTGGTTCCCAGGGTGGTGCTTTTGGGAAGTGGTGGAACACCGTGGGAGGTCCATAGATTCTTGGGTGGTGTGCCCTTGAAAGGGACTGTTGGAGTCCCACATCTTTCTCTTCACTCTCTGGCTCGTGATGTGAAAGATTTTGCTCTGCCACATCCACCCACCAGGATGCCACAAGTCCAAAACAAAATGGCCATTTGACCATGGACTGGGGCTTCTAAAACTGTGAACCATATCCCATTATAAGTTAATTATCAGAGATATTTTGATGTAATGACAGGAAGTTGATACCACCTATAGGACTTTTCCTTTGCCAGACAATAGGCTGTGCTACCAAATAACTTGTTTTTTGAATACTGTATAACTTGTTACTGAATACTGTATGATTTTTAAAATAAACGGCTTAACCTGCTTTGAGATACCAGTAGACATTTTAAAAATTAGCATACTTACTTGTGAAATGGTTATAATTTGTGTCTCAGTTACTTTTTTCTCGTTGCTGGGACAAAAATACCTGATGCCCAAAATGAAGGAAGGAAAGGTTTATTTCACTTACAGTTCATGGAGTTTTCAGTCCGTACTTGGCAGATTATAAGGCAGAGTGGCACATGGCAGAGGGCTACAGCTCAGGGCGCAGAGCACAGCAAAAGCAGCAACCACACACCAGGGCGGAATGGCGGAGGAATGGCCTCAAGCACCCTTTTCCTCTCCCTTACATATGCAAACTATCCACTCCTGGCTGGGTGCAGTTCTCACACCCATATTCAAACTCTAATAGCCTGCCCCATGGCCGCAAGAGGCTTTGGGGGAACACACAGACGTAAACCATAACAATTTGCCACTAGGTTCTTTTCAGTTTTGCAGGCACCATTGCTCCATTTGTAAATTCTAATTCCTTATCACTAACTAAATTGACCAGATTTATCTAGGCCTACAGTTCAACTGTTTCATTTCACACTTCATGATTAAAAATCTCTACCTTGGACCATTTGGGAAACACAAATCCTAATAAAATATTTAAAAATAAGGGCATGACTAAACAAAAAACTTTCAAAAACTGTGAAATCTTCTAAGCCTGGAGTGGTGGCGCATGCCTGTAATCCCAGGACATGGGAAGATGAGGCAGGATGGTTGCTGTGAGTTTGAGGTCATCCTGAAACCCTGTTTAAAAAAAAAAAAATTGGGCATGGTGGCACACACCTATAATTCCAGCACTCAGGACGCTGAGGCAGGAGGATGCCTTGAGTTTGAGGCCAGCCTGGGCTCTATAAATGAAACCATCCAGACTTCTGAATTATAGCTGGCACACACCTATAATTCCAGCACTCAGGAGGCTGAGGCAGGAGGATTGCCTTGAGTTTGAGGCCAGCCTGGGCTCTATAGTGAATTCAAGGCCAGCCTGGACTACAGAGCAAGACCCTGTCTCAAACAAAACAAAACAAAACAAATAAAAATAGATAATAAAAATTTGTGAAACCTTCACAATACAATTCACTCCCACACAGTTTGTGCCGTATTGTGGTGACAACAGCAAAGCAGCAGGGAAATAACTGAGTCACAACATGTAAAACTAGTTTCTTTAGAAGGAATGATTGTTCTATCACACCAGTAGAATTGGCTTTTTCCCATAAGTCAGTGGTGGGTATGTAAGGGGAGACTGGGAGAATCCTTAAGAGGCCTTAACGCTTCTTTTCTGCATGTTCACAAATGGCCCACAGACTTCTTGACTTCACATTAACACGGAGAAAGGACTCAACAGACTGAGCACAATCCCACTGTTTGCTGCTGCATAGGGCCACATGATCGCTAGCAGATGGTTTCAGAGGCTGCTTGATAACTGTCCCTCACAGGAAGCTCTGCATCTTGTGGCCCACGAACTTCAAACACCAGGCTTTTGTTTTCAGTCGTGATATAGAACCCAGGGCCTAGAAATGTCTCCAGGGATCCCGTGGTTCTGCCCAGGTGAAGCCTCTGCCCCGCTGTACTGATCCTGTCTCCTTGCGGCATCCATGTGCCAGGCAGCAGGAAGAAGAGTTAGACGTTTACATGCTTAGTGATTAAAGCCCAAGACCAAAGGTTGCTGTTGTCGTTTAGCCACAGCTACATGCAGGAGGTGCTCTGGCACTGGGCATGGCGGCTCACACCTGTGTTCCTAATGAAGCAGAAATCCTGACCTAACTGCAGCCATGTTGTTCAATAAAGCTGCAGGTATTCTGTTCTCTGCCACTGAACTCAGCTAAACCATGTGATTTGTCATCAGACTGAAACTTCTGTGGGGCTGGGGATTTAGCTCAGCGGCACAGCGCCTGCCTGGCAAGCGTGAGGCTGTGAGTTTGACTCCTGGTACCGGAAAAAGAAAAGAAAAGAAACTTCTGTGAATGTGCTACAAACAACTTTGCTACCTACAACTATGCTCACCACAAGATACCTATCATACCATGGCCTTCAGCTGAAAGTTTATCTCATTCTTGTAACTTCTGTCCACCACCCTATAAAAAAGACAGTCTCTCTGTAACCAAGACCTCAGGCTTTGGAGATTACCCCTCTGGGGTCTTCTAGCATCAGTAAAATTTCCTTGCTTCTGAACTCCTGGCTAATGTTGATTAAGCTTTTCCCACAACAGTTTCTGGTGCATTGGGCTGGGAAAGGAGAAAAGACAGCTACAGCCCCACATCTAGGTCATGGAGGCGGGTGGGTCATGGAGGCGGGTGGATCATGGAGGCGGGTCATGAGGCGAGTTCCCCCCACTCTGCATCCTGGGAGCTTATGCCCCTCTGACTGACTTCTGAGGTCCCCTCCACAGCCTCTGGGACTCAGACTGGGACACACATCACCAGCTGTAAAGGAGAATGAAATGAAACCATCCAGACTTCTGAATCACAGTGAGGCCATCCTGGGTTTTTCTGTTTTCCTGGTTGTCAGCCTGTCCCAAGTCAAGGACAGAAGACGAGCCTGATCACCTCCTAGTCAGTTTGTGTTTTCTGGGTGGAGGATGGAACGTTTTAACTTCTGAATGAATGTGAGTAAATGTACAACATCCCTGGTGAATCCAGCTGCTTTGCATGGATGTTTGTGTAGCACCACAGCTTTAGCTGCAGAGTGCAAATGGGCATGTTCTGAGGTTCTGAGGTCTGTCATATGGCTCAGAGGTGACTCAAACCCCTGTAATGAGAGTCATGACCTATCCTGGAGATATAGGTGCACCTCTTGCTAAGACAGACTTCATCCCCGAGAGGGCAGCGGCCAGGCAAACATCTGACTGGCCCCCTATCAAAGAGGGGACCCCACCTTTGTCTGTCTTTTGCATCACCAGACAAGGAAACACCACATACACATAGGGAGTCAGAATGGGACCTAGTTAGTCAAAGCTTACAATTCTGGAATATATTCTAAAGATTTTTTTTTTTTTAAAGGGCCTTTTCTGGTGATTACGAAGTTAAAATGAAACCAGACTGGCTCTGCACCTACACAAAAACCCATTTTTCCTAAGGATTCCTCCACATGCGGCAGATTTATCACCTCTTATCAGCCTTGCAGCTGCTGCCAGCACCTACAGTTCCACTGGCCAGCCCTCCTCCTCCCGCTCCTGACTCATTTACCTCCAGCCATCGGTCCTGATACCACGCCGGCTGCCTCTCCTCCCATCCCCAACTCCAGAGAGTCCAGTCAGTCATTGCCTGCGTTCAGCCACAGAGGCCCTCCCCCGGAGCCTTCTGCTTTACAGCTGCCCTCACACACTGTTCCTGGTCAGATGGCTTCAACTAGCGCCCACGTAGATGACTGTCAGCAACTCCATCTGACTCTGTTCAACACAGAAACATCATCGCCACATTTTGACTAAGGCAAAAAAAAAAAAGAAAAGAAAAAAAACTGGTTAAAGTGAGAGGTCCCTCCACGGACTGTCAGCCCTGACGGATGGGTTGTCATGGCCTTTCCCAAGCAAGAAAGACACAGAGCAATCCATAGATACTGTCAAGTCCTCAAAAGCATCAAAGAGAGGGGCAAAAAGCCCATCAATCTATCAAAAGTTACTACTGTTACTCAGAAGTCTGTTAAAAAGCCCTTCAGACTTTTATGAGAGTCTCTGTGAAGACTGTAGAGTCTACATTCCTTGTGACCCTGAGGCACCATAAAATCTAAAGATGATAGACGCAGCCTCATTGCACAAGCAGCACCTGAGATTTTCAAGAAAACCTAGTTCGATAGATGACCATACCCTCTGGCCAAAGACCAATGTGCAAGATATAAGGGCTATGGACACTGGAAAAATAAATGCCCACTCAGACTAAAAAATAAGGGCTCTCAAAAGCTTCAATCTGGATCAGATGACAACTCTTTCATTGGTCTGATGGGCTCAGACTAGGCCAGACCAGGCTCCCTTCTTCAGCTGGGGCAGCAGGAGCCCACAGTCCATGTCCAGATTGGGGGCCAATCTACGACTTTCCCGGTAGACAGTGGAACAGAACACTCTGAGTTACTCAATCTATTGCCCCTCTGTCAGAAAAAGGTTACTGCCACTGGGGCAACTGGGAATTCTGCCTCTCGCCTCTTCTGCCAGCACAAATTTGCAGCCTGGCAGGACATCAAATCACACATGAGTTCCTCTACTTGCAGGAGGGCCCAATCTCACTCCTGGGGAAAGACATCCTATCGAGGTTAGGAGCCACCATCGCCTTCTCTCCAGTACTTTCTGCTTATTTCTGTCCCTTCCAGTTCCACAACCACATGTCCTGTTTGCTGTCATAGTCCCCCAGGAAGCAGAATGGTGATTGATGGACATACACACATGAAGCCAACCGAGAAATTCTCAAGACTCTCATTCCTCAAGTTTGGGCTGAAGACTCTCCTCCTGGACTGGCCATCAACCACCTGCCTCTGATTGTGGAATTCCTTCCTGGGGAAACCCCCACCTGCATCAAACAGTACTCCATGCCACCAGAGGCTCAACTAGGAATTCAATCGCACATCCAGAGACTTCAGAACTGTGGACCACTCATAGACTGTCAATCATCCTGGAATACACCTCTCCTACCTGTAAAGAAACCCATGGGGAATATCATCCAGTTCAGGATCTCCAAGCCATCAGTGCTACTGTGGTTGCCCTCCATCCTGCAGTCCCAAATCCTTATACTCTCCTTAGCCTTCTGCCACCCACAGCCTGTTGGTACACCTGCCTGGAAGTAAAGGATGCCTCCTTCTGCGTTTGGTTGGCTCCTGTCAGCCAGCCCCTCTTCGCCTTGAAAGACCCCAGTTCTGGACTCAAGAGTCAACTGACCTGGACTCAGCTTCCCAGGGATTATAAAGCTAGCCTACCCTCTTTGGAAAAGCCCTCACAGCCAACCTCGCTAGCTTCCCCAGCAAAGAACATTACTGCACTCTCCTCCAATATGTTGATGATCTTCTTCTGGCAAATGACACCCAAGTTGCCTGCTGGGAGGCACAAAAGCTCTGCTACAACATCTGACAGAAACTGGCTACAAGGTATCTTGGGAAAAGGCACAAATCTGCAAACAAAAATCAGATAGATGGGATTTGACTTAAATCACGGACACTGGACCAGGAAAAAAAAAAAAAGAGGTCATCTGCTCCAGCACAGTCCCAACCACAACAAGGAAACTCTGAACATTCCTTAGAGCTGCTGACTTCTGCTGAATCTGGAGCCCTGGGTTCACAGAAAAAGCAAGGCACTTACACAATGCCTTGTCTGGAAAAGACTCTGACACCTTCAGCTGAAACCCAAAAGAAGAAAAAGCCTTCAGTGACCTTAAAAAGGCCCTCTCTACAGCCCAGCCTTGGGAATTCTAGACATAACTCACTTATTCAACCTGCTTGTTGATAAATGATGAAATGTGGTTTCAAAGATGCTTACTTGAACTGTTGGCCCCTGGGAGTACCCAGTGACCTACCTGTCCAGATACTTCCATCCAGTCACTAAGCGCTTGCCTCCTTACCTCTACATTCTAACAGACACTTTCCTTCTAATCAAGAAAACTGACAAGCTCACCTTAAGCCAAGACCTAATCATCCAGGTGCCACATGCTGTACTGGGCCTTCTGAATAACCATGGACATATCTGGCTCGCCAACAGCCAGGTCACCCAGTACAAAGGACTCTTCTGCAAAAATCCTTGCCTGATTCTCATGGCAATAAAACCACTCAATCCTGCCACATACCTGACCACTGAGCTGGGCCCTCCAGATCATGACTGCCTGACACTAACCAATGAGCTGTCCTCAAGCCAACCAGACTTAAAGATAGACCCCTTGATAGACTCTGAGTACACCTGTTTATGGATGGAAGTCGCTCTGTTAGGTTTGGAGTCACAAGCTGATATGATGTGATCACCCTGGACAAAGTTATTTTGGCCAAAGCTCTCCTGCAAGGATGGTCTGCACAGCAAGCTGAGCTATGGGCCCTCATACAGGCCCTGAATTGGTCTGAAAACAAAAAAGTCAGTGTCTACATGGACCTTCAATATGCCTCTGCCACAGTTGATGTTTACAAAATTATATATATAGAGAGAGAGAGAGAGAGACAGAGAGACAGAGAGACAGAGAGAGAGAGACAGAGAGAGGATTATTCACAACAGAAAAAAATCATGAAAAACAAAAAAGAAATTCTGCTGCTTCTTGCTGCTGGCTGAAACCCCACCATAGTGGTGATCATTCACTGCCAGGGAGATCAAAACGTCAAAAGTCTCATCTCCTAAGGAAACAATAAAGCAGATAAAACTACAAAAGCAGCCACTGAAGGGACATCCTGGGACAATGTTGGCCTGCTCAGGGGCCTGTAGTGGATTGACAACTGGTAGTCAACTTATAACCCCCAGATGAACTAAGTAAGCGTGGTGCTGGGTGTGGGAGGCCCACCTGGGGATTGTTGCCAGCAGCATAAGAGGCAGAACTGGAGAAGGAGAAGAAAGGCTTTTGGGAACTGAAAAAGGCTGTTGGAGCTGGTGGAAGCTGCAAGGAGCTATTGGTTCTGTTGGAGGAGTTTGTCATGCTGGCTTTCCTGATGAACTTGGCTGTTTTCATCCTCCAAGCAGCTCGGGACCTTGTTGGCACTGAAAATGGCTTCAGTTCACTTTGGGAGAGCTCTGGTCTTCACTCTGAGCATCATTTCCTGGCTCCAGGGGGGAAGATGGCGCACTTACAGTCTCCTGGAGAAGCTTGCTGCGTTGGCTTTCCTGATGGGAACTCAGCTAGCCTGATCATCAGAGGAGCTTGGGACCTCACTGTTGTTGAGGATGGTTGTGGTACCTTTCAGGGAAGCTCTGGTTCTTACTTTGAGCACCGCTCCCTGGCTCCAGTGCAGATCCCTCAGCCTGCTAGCACAGATCCTTCATCCCACTGGCACAGACTTTCTAGATTCCACCACTGACGTTTAGGCCTTCCCAGTGAAGATCCATGAAACAGGTCTGCATGAGACATTGTCGTGGGCCTTGGGCCTCCAGGTAGATTTGTGGGAGGCATTGTTATGGGCTCTAGGTCTTCAGCTGGACTCAAGCAGGACATTATCATGGAATCCAGGCCCTCAGGTGGATTTCTGGTCTTAGTGGATGGATTCCCTGCACTCTTTTGTATATCATTCTTTGGGTGACTATTATAAATAATCTTATAGAATATGGGTCCTGTATTATATTGTTCCCCTTGCAAAAAACCCCAAACCACAACAGAGCCCAAGGGAGATTTTCAAGAGTGAGGTCCCAAGGTTAAAGAACACACATGTGCAAGACATCAGCAACAATAGCAGGCAGAATGGAGCAGAGAAGAGTAGAAGAGCCACCTGTGTCCTTATTGTATAATT